GGAGGGGGGAGGGAATAATGCGCACTTGAACAAACAGAACGGGCAGCCGCACAGGGGAGTCGGGTGCAAGCAAACGCTCCAGGTTGCCCTCAGAACATCATAGGCTAGCAGTTGCTAATCCATGGGCATGGCTACCATCTTGGCCCCCTCTTCCCCCCGGACACAATGCACTGTCGTTGTGTCTGTATGTGACCAGAAAGATAGCTCGTATACATTCGTCATCAGGGTGTGTTTTGTTGGGGGAAAGGGGGTAGCATTTTCTAACCCATGGTGGCCATTGTTTGCCTCAGAGACAGTTGCTGAAAGCGATTGCGAGTAAAATGTTCCCAGAGTTTTACTCTGGATCGCCCGTGAGGACCGCGACCTCTCTTTATGATTAGAAGAATTTGGAAAAATAAACTCTGGAATCTGGATTACAATAAAAAGGGAAAAAGAAAAGGCCAGGAAGTTGGTGCTGCCATCCAATGCAGAATGGCATTGCAATTTGCAACCAGTCCCGGTTCATCGGCAGGAGACCTTTCATTTTGAGAAGGCTGAGCCTGGTCAGACAATGGCAAGAGGCCTATTTGCACCACTCGACATCCGCCCAAAAAAGCAAAAAAAACATTTTGAAATTTGAATGCACCTGGAGTCTGGACATGTAGTGTGTACAGCTGCATTCAAAATCTTCTTTTTTTTTTTCTTTTTTTTTTTGGCATTCAAAATCTTGGCAGATGGCGAGCGGTGCAAACAGGCCCACAACACAAGCTCCTCCCGCCGAAGACAGGAGTTTGGAGTGTTGTCAGCTGTCAGCTTTTTCTTGTGGTCTGTTTTTTTTTGTCCGCTTCTGGCCTTTGTCCGCAGTCATGTGGCCGATGGGAGCAAAGTGTGCGAGACCTGCCCGTGTGGCGCTGCGTGTGTGGCTAGTGAGTGAGTGAGGAAGGACAGTGGACGCTACAGCCACGCAGGCGTACCCCGGATATCAAGAGCGATATTGTTCCATGCTTGTACACCGTATCGTGGCTGTAGTGGTTACGTGACTTAGATCTTGTGGCTGAGGGTGGCGGTTCGATTCTGTGCGTGGCACGCCGGCAAGGATGACAATCTGAGGCCAGAAGAATACTGATTAACTACTGAACTTTCTAACCCAGTTGAAATTTAATCTTGTAAACTTATTTAATCTTTAAATTTAATTTATTTAATCTCTTAAATTTATTTAATCTCTTAAATTTATTTAATCTCTTAAATTTATTTAATCTCTTAAATTTATTTAATCAACTACATTGAATTCCAAATCCCCATTGGTTGACAAAAGCAAAGAACAGTGGACCAATGAGCTCTCAACACATTCACGGGAAGTTGAGAAGTAAAAAGGGAGAATGGTGGTTGGTTGGGGGGGCCACAAGCAATGGCTCCAGTGCAACGTGCCCCGCTCAGTGCTACGAAGGTGAGAGGGGAGTGTGTGTAGTCTGCGTTGTCAAAAAAAATAAAATCAGCAGGAAAAAAAAACAGCACTCCCTGTGCATCCGTCTCAAACATCGAAGGAAACTGGCAAAAAAAACAAAAACAAAGGGACATGCAAGATGGATTCCCACGTCTCGGTGGTTTAACAGGGTAACAGGGAGTGCCCCATCACATCCATCCACTTGCAACTCAGTTGCACTGAACAAATATAGTATTTCCGATCGCTAAATCCCATCAAGCATGCAGCGGGTCTCATGCAACACGTCCCAGGAAAGACACATGGAGACTGCTGGGCCCGAAGGAGGAGGAGGTCACTGTGGATGGCTGGGCTGTCAAGGACAACCGGCGTGGTGGGCAGGGTAGGGCAGGGAGGGGCTGGGCCAAAGGAGGGGCCGAGCGGCGATGGGCGACCCGTAGAGAAACCGCCGTGTCGGAACAAAATAGCTGCGACACAAACTGGTGGGCTTAAAGCACCACTACATAGCCCCAGCCATGTTCAGAATCCAACCGAGAATCTCGGAATCTCCTAAAATTTTGGAGGTGCCCGCACCGTAGATGAAATCAATCGGTGGCGGGCGGCCTCTGAAAGGGGCCCCATGGCCAATAGCTGGCATGTACTGGTCGTTTAAGCCTGAAAAACAAAGGCTTCGGGTTCATACCCCAAGGACCCATGGTTGTCATGAATCTTCCCGCAACATCAGCATCCCTGCTACACAGCACGTGCCACGTGGGTGTCCCACTCATGGCACATGTGCTGCCTAAGACTTGCCTATAAGAATTTGAACCACTTTTACTCGAGGAATTGGTCCCCGGGTCACGAAAATCGGGCCCTGATCAAACTTGCTAGAACAGAGGCGCTTCCGTGTCCCAAGACGAAAAACAGAAACCTTTTTGTTTTCTAGTACAAAACATAATGAGTCGAGTACGAGATCCAATGTCTCGTCTTTCTTGCGTGGAATCACTAAAGTCAGGCCTTCGGCTTCTCCCCCTTCGAGTCCTGAGGTCGCCTGGAAGTCCACAGGGGAAAGTAGGGCTTTCATGAGACCTCCACCCAGCACATGGGAGTCTCACCCAACAAATCTGAGACTGCCCACAAACACCACATGTCTATGTGTCGAGGTGTGTCCTCTTGTCAAGTTTGCTATATACAACTTCAGAGATGAAGCATGAATGTTTCACAGAGTGTTTCATCGGGCTTTCATCAACTCATCAGGAGGTTGAACCTCTACAGTCTTCCCACGATGCATTCGACCGATGGATATATGTGTGTGTTCTCATATTCACCATACACAACTCCTTTTTTCGTACATCTTATGCATTCGTCAAAAGCACAAAGAGGTCGAAAACACGGGTCCGGGAACCTCCCATAACCTTAGGACCTTTATGTGGCACCAGAACCATTTCCGCCTAAAGCAGCTTGACCTGCACCGTCATGTGCACTCCAAAAACAACAGCCCATAGGAATCTCACTTCATGCATGTGTTGTGAATCGTCGCTCACCACCAAACTCTCTTCAGATGCATAAACAGTTATTTAGAAACTGCCAGGTTTGTGATTGTGTGTGTGTCTCTGTGTTATAGGGGAGAGAGAGAGAGAGAGAGAGAGAGAGAGAGAGAGAGAGAGAGAGAGAGAGAGAGAGAGAGAGAGAGAGAGATTCAAGGGAGGGAGGAGCTCACTTCAGAAATGTCCAGGCCGCTCAGTATCTCCTTGGCTCTCAAGTCTCTCCTGAGTTCATGGCGCATCCTCTCTCGTGCTTTTTCCAGGGCAGATCCTAAAGTACTCGATTCCTGTGAGGTGGCCATTCGAAAAATTCAAAGGACTGAATCAGAGGAGAGGTTTTGCCTGCATGGCACCTACAGAGATAGTAGAAACACATGATGATGGTTCAACAGACATCCAGCAAATATTATTTTTATTTATAGCAGCGTTTTCATTAATTATTAATTAATGATTAAATTTAATTTTCGATTTTGAGACTTTTTTTCCCCATTTCTCAATTTGCAAATTACTAATCAGTGCCCTCAAGAGGCCGTTTTGCATATCTGTTACGGGCCATTTTTAGATGATTGGTAGTCGATCCAACTACCAAACCTTTTTTTTTTTTTTTAAGAGGACCACCAATCATTTATCACCAAAATGAAAAAAAAAAAAAGCAAAGAAGATATTAGGTAGTTGGACTGACTACCTGCGATGAACCTCCCGAACATCGACCCTGAAACCCAGCATGCATGAGCAGAACATTCATATGAGAGATCACAGGACAACCGAGAGACGGAAACCGAATCAACGAAACAGGAAACTTCACTCAATTATATTATTATTAATTTATTATACAATGCAAGAGTTCAGGTCACCAGCGGCTTGACCGCATTCAACAACACCTCCTCTCGGTGATTACCGGACTCTCTCTCCTACTCTCGTTTCTCTCTCTCTCTCTCTCTCTCTCTCTCTCTCTCTCTCTCTCTCTCTCTCTCTCTCTCTCTCTCTCTCTCTCTCTCTCTCTCTCTCT